AATATATCAATATATTATACGTGTTTTGCACGAAGTTTTGCCAATGAAAGAACTTAAAATTTGAGACACTTAAAGTTTATGAATAGAACAAGTGCAGAAAGTTTAAATAAATACTAATTAAACAATCACGTGATAACGGTTACATCAAGTTAAACGCAATCAATATACGAGTACGTTAATGTTGACCTGCCACAGTAGTTGTTTCAAGCAGTGGTTGTCCTAGTCAAGTTTAGGACGACGGCCTGGCGATTCTGATGTTGCTGGACGAGGCGGGTAAATTGTTTGAGAGAGTTCTCTCTGCCCGCATCGTTCGGCATCTTTGCGAGGTGGGCCCCGATCTGTCGGACGCCCAATTCGGTTTGCGTCGACGGCGTTCGACGGTCGGTGCTGTGCTGCGCCTGAGGGCGGTGACCGAAGAGGCGGTGAGCTGCGGCGGCGTGCTGTTGGCGGTGTCATTGGACATCGCCAACGCATTCAATAGTCTGCCATTCAGCTGCATCAAGGAAGCCCTCCACTATCATGGGGTGCTAGAGTACCTGAGGCGGCTGGTGGCAGATTATTTAGAGGAGCGTACTCAAGAATCAGCCCATGTCGTGCGGTGTTCCGCAGGGGCCTGTTCTTGGACCCCTCCTATGGAATATAGGGTACGACTGGGCCCTTCGAGCTGATTTTCCCCCCGGGCTGGGTGTAATTGGGCGAACTTTCAAGAGGCGGCACGCCTGGCCACCAGGGGAGTGTCTCTGGTGGTCGGGCGCATTGAGGCGCAGGGCTTGCGGGCGCCTCAATCGTGGTCAACTCGGTCCTCGTACCGGTCCCGGCCCAGATGAAGTATCTGGGTCTGATCCTCGACGGGAGGTGGCTCTTCGACGAGCACTTCCGACAGCTTGCTCTAAAGCTGGTCGGCGCTGCGTCTGCCCTAGGGCGACTTTTACCCGATTTGGGTGGGCCCAGCGTCGCGACAAGACGATTGTACACGGGGGTTGTACGGTCAATGGCACTGTACGGTGCACCGGTATGGGCGACGGCTCTGACCGCCCAGAATAGGGCACGCCTTTGGCGCCCTCAGAGGATATTGGCGGTTAGAGCCATACGCAGTTACCGCACCGTTTCGACGGAGGTAGCTTGTGCGTTGGCCCGAACTGCCCCGTGAGATTTGGAGGCGGAAGTATAACGGCGGACGTCTGATTTCCGGGCGGATAGTGGCAGTCGGCCCCCGCCCGAAAAGATACGTCCGCGTGTGCCGGACGTCACCTAAATAGAGAATATACCCGAAGGTGGTGCCAGCACAATTGCGGGCAGGCGCTAGGAGAAGTCCGGATGTCTTAATAACAGCAGTTCCCGGATTCCTCCTATTACAGGCGCAGAGTGGCACACCGTGTGGTTTTAGTCGCTCCGATTAAGACACACCACCCCGCCGCAAACCCCGGTGGGGTGACGGCCCGAAGGGGTTTCCACACGTAAAAAATAAAAGTCAAGTTTAGGACACACATCTCAAATCTTATGTTTTCTTCATCATAGTGTTTAAAGAAGTAAGACTTGTTTTTTAATTAAATTTCTTTATAGTAATCCTATACATTATATAGTAGGTATTTACTAAATGTAGCATTTACTGTATCTTAAAAGAACTCATGTCATATAATTTTATAGGAATGACCTTTTTCCAGCTTGTTAAATTTCATTTATTACTAGAAAAGTTGGCATAAAATGTGTTTACTCAGCCTAATTTGTTTTGTCCTTGTCAAAGTGGCATCTGAAGGCTTTCACGTAATAGAAAGTAATTTGTAGATTTGGTGACATCCAAAAATTTAGTATTTTGGTCCTAAAAGGCAGGAGACTAGCAATCCTATTGAAGTTGACTGACTTTCGATGTTGAGAATCAGTAAGAGCTCGTACATTTGTACTCGTCCGTATATCTTTTAAATTATTATGATCCCAGAATAACATTATCTTGAATTCTTAGTTTATCAGATTCAGGTGGCATTGACTTTCTGGATAACAAATATTTACGAACTATAAGTCCAGCCGCTCAAAGAATGCGTTTCTGACAAATCGTGATCGACTGGGCGATGTAACTTTGAACTGGCGTCCAATTTAGGGCAAAATTTTAAATATCTTTTATTTACCTTATTAACGAGTGATAACATTAAAATTCGAATAATTATGACAACTTACAATAAATGTATTAATTTTGGGCTTAAGTTATTACAATTACTTAATTAACAAATATAAAAACAATAGCTTTTAAAAGTCAAACCACGTCAAACGGCGCTGTTTCAAGGTTATGTCAACTATTTGTTTTTGTAGTGATGTGACAAAATAACGAGGCAATTGTAATTGAATATTTTTGTAGTCTTAATATAATCTGTCGGTATAATATAAAATAAAACGTTATAATTTTATAATATATGATGTACTTAGTATTTAATAAAGTTAATAATATAATAAAGGTGCGCCCAAACAAAACTTAAGAATATTAGTGTCATACTATCAGTCAGATGAATTGAAAAAAATATTGATAATAAAATTACTCACTATTTTATATTTCTGGTAAAAAATGGCAACCCAAAAAGCGTTGTGGGACCGCCATTTTGTGACATTTAAAAACAGTCGTCACTTCAGCTACAATATTACTTTGAGCGTGAAAGACAAAATGGCGGAACTTTAATTCCTGTCGACCAGGTCCAAGAACGCATCTCTCAGGCACTTGGAGTGAGCAAACGGACGATAGCAAATATTAATAAAGAAAAGTTCGGCTCATCTGGCATGGAAGAAAATATTTTACGAACACCAAAAAAAGAAACGCAGAACTAAACCTATAACAGACATTGATAGCTTTGACGACGGTTATTATTCCAGGAATGAGTACCTTAATAGGTCGGTGCTTCTAGCATCTTTGAAAGCAGCTGATTTATTTAGGGGAGGCAAAACTGCTTTATCTAACATTTTGAAATATATTGGATTTCAATATAAAAAAACGGACAAAAGGCAAATTCTTTTAGAAAGAAACGACATAATTAAAAAAAGAGTTACTTTTTTAAGAGAAGCGACAAAAATCGATAATTGGGGCAATGTCGTTTTCATCGACGAGACATGGCTGAACGCCAATCACACGATTTCTCGTTCTTAGACAGATGACACTCAAGCTTCAACGTCAAAAGTGCCAATGGGTAAAGGAGCACGACTTATAATATTCCACGCTGGTTGTGCGAAGTATGGTTTCGTGGAAAACGGTTTATTGGCATTTGCCTCAAAAACCACTTCTGACTACCACGAAGAAATGAATGCGGCTTCATTTAAGGAGTGGTTCCAGGATGTGTTGCTACCTGGCCTGTCAGAGCCTTCGGTTATATTAATGGATAACGCCCCTTATCATTCGGTGCAAAAAAATAAAGCACCTACCCAAGCTAATAGAAAAGAGGAATTGGTGGCTTGGCTGCAATTGGCAAATATATCAATGCTAAACGCAGAGCTGATTAAATTAGTCAATGACCATAAGCCGACAAATGTTCGATATGAAATAGATGAGTTGGCTCTGGAGTACGGTCATCGCGTTCTCCGAATTCCCCCGTACCACTGCCAGTACAACGCCATTGAGCTAATTTGGGCTCAAATTAAAGGTTATGCAGCCCGTCATAATACTTCTCCACCGTATGGCGTAAAAAAGATGAAGATGCTTTTAAAAGATGCATGCGAAAAAGTCACAAGAGATGACTGGATGAAGGTGGTTAAAAAAACTAAAAAGATTTTATTGATGACTTTGACCGCGATATCCGTATAGATACTATGATTGACAATAATATGATTATACACGTTAGTGAAGATGACAGCGACTCCTCAAGCGAATTGGAAGATTAAATTGTTTGACATAGTCTTCATTGTTTAAGGCTTAAAACTATGTATTTCATAATATACATTTTCCAATAAAAAAGCATTTTTATTTTTATTCCCTTCGTTACATTCAGAAATTACGATTAATTAATTGATTCATTAAAGATTTATTTACATCGTGAATATTTATTGAATATATTGAAATATAATTCCTATAAAAAATAACAACATATAAATTAAATTGAATAAATATGCATAATGAATGCAATAAATAACGTTACTAAATATTATCAATGTTATTTATTGTACATCACTAGTCATGACGAATTGACAGGTGTCAGAAACGCATTCTTTGAGCGGCTGGACTATAAATGGAAATCAAATACATGATTGCTGTTTTCTGTAGCTAAATTCATTCTATAGTTACAAAATAGATTCCTGTATAATGACTAAACTGACAACCCTCACCCTGACTGACAACCCTTTTTAATTGTAAACGGACATTGATGATTAGAAACACTCAATAGCAGATGATCTAGATATTATACAATATCTAGCCCTATTTGGAAAATTTATATTTTTATACCATAGAACCTCTTAATTTAAACTAAATGTAATATATTTTTTGTATTATCCAGAAATACGAGCTTAATACAAAATGAGATTTCATTCAATATGATACGTAACAAAGAGCAATTTATTAGCTATATTTAGTTGGCAAGCAATTAATTAAAAAAATTACTTGTTGGCAAGCAATTAATTAAAATTATTTATTAGAAATATGATATATTATTACACGCTTAAGCACTCCGTCTATATTGAAGTCGTGTCGCTTTTTCTAATGTTTTTCAAAAAAATAAATTGAAACTCGCTATGGAAAGCTACATTATTAGCAAGTAACATAGGCTACTTTTTGCCGCGGGGTATGTACTTAAAATGTATGTATGTGTTCAATTGTCGTTTAACGGCTCGTAAAAGGAAGCCTCTGATACTCGCTGATAATGTAGCTTTCTATTGGTGAAAGTATAAATAAATTCGGTTCAGTAGTTTAGGCGTCAGAGCATAAAAAACAAACAAACATACTCACTTTCACATTTATAATATAATTGTGGATGAAACCCGATAGCTTAACAGTTTGAATAAATAAATACATCTTTTTTTATGTTACGCAGGTCTTTTTGAATACTCGCACATGGAGTTTAATGCTGAGCGTGGAGCATCCTCTACAGACGCTGAAGAGGGTACGAGTGCGACCTCCACAGTGAAGGCCGATGATCCATCACTCGCGGACATGACGCGTGCTGCTTTATCGATATTAACCAAGAATGATAAGGGATTTTTCCTACTCATTGAAGGTTAGTTATATAACTAATCTAAGATAAAAGGGTGTAAAGGTTTTTACATCCTTTTATCTTATTACAGCTGTGATTTTGTAGATAAATGTAGTTGATAAATTTTATTTATATCAGGTTTTATTACACTTCACCCAGGTCAATCTTATGGCAAGTTTTGTTGTTTGATGTCGTAATAAGTGCCTTCTCAAAATTGACCATTATAGTCTTACAACAACTAAAGCGAAACTCACAGAGAATAATTAAGAACTTGATCATCGACCTTCGTCGTTGTTATTGCGTTGGCTCACCTCTTAGAACATTCATAGTTTCTTTAGTGTCTAGTTTCTCATTTTTTAGGCAAAATGATATAAGTATTTTGTAAGTATTTCTATGTACAACTTTAGGTGGAAGAATAGACCACGCACATCACTACAACAATCCATACAGAGCTCTCGACGAGACTTTGGAGTTAGAAACCGCACTGTTGGCAGCTTTAGAACGGGTTAATCCCGCTGAAACTTTGATCGTTGTTACCGCCGATCACGGCCATGTAATGACTTTCGGCGGCCAAGCCACGCCCAGAGGACATCCTGTATTAGGTAATAATAATATTTAAAATATTTATATTCTATTTCTCAAAATTTATAATTGTACATAGACCAACCATAGAACAGATCGGTTTATGGTGAAAAAGAACAGGATAACATAATTTACGTATTTTATAACAAATGAATGCGATTTACTAATATGATTTACTGCTAAGTATTGTTTGATTTCTTTAGACATTACAATAATGTATTTTCATGTGTTATTCTTTCTAACAGCGCTTTCAAAAACCACCACTTGAAGTTTTATGAAATTAAAACAAAGTAAAATTTTACCTTCTTTCATCAAACGACAGGCTGAAGGAATTATCTGGAAAAACGAGTCACGAATTATCTGCCTGCAGAATCATGTCCTGAAAGCAAAATTGTGTTAGATGTTGCCAAACTGTATTGAGTAAAGAAACGTTTGGCACAGCGTACAAAGTTACTAATTGAAGTCTGTGCCAAACGTTTTTCAATTAAGCACAATGTATTCAATGTCGCAAATGTTTATTACATGAGATTGAATTGAATAAAATATATGTCTGAAAAAGGAAAAAAAATGCATTAGTTAAGCATTATGCTAAGTTATCTGACGAAGAGTGGATTTAAGAGACACTTGGTATTCCTCCAAGCAGCAGTATTATTTATATTTTTCTTCTAATAATACTTTTAAGCCATGCCATTTAAGACCACTTTAACTCTGACTTTCCTTAGGCGCTGATACTGTGGTCTCTGATATCGATGGCCTGCGGTATACTACCCTGCTATACGGAACTGGACCTGGACATTCAGAACCCAGGGCCTTACCTTTGAATACTACAGTATCGATAGGAGCGTTAGCAGATGCCGTACATGCATCGGCCGTACCAAGGCAGTGGGCTACACATGGTGGCGAAGATGTGCCGGTGTATGCTTTAGGTAAAGTTTTATGAATTGTATTTCGATTACCATAAATATATGTAAGTAGAAAAATACTACTTAAAAGGACAAATTTCCGATAAATCGGACCCTGAAAGTATTAAGGTTTAACATGAAATTTAGCTTAGCCTTGTGAACGTTGAGTGTTAGTACCAATTTTGACAACATTGTTTCTTTGAAATACCAAATATTAGTTTACCAATATTTAGCTAACACACATTCTGTAGTAGTAGACTCGATACGGGTGATGTTTTTATATTAAGTGATCTTTTACATAGAACTTACACCTAAAACTTTATTTTAGGACCCATGGCGACAATACTATTTACCGGTGTAATTGAGCAAAGCTATATCCCACATGCAATCGCATACGCCGCTTGCATCGCTCATCAATCACGCCGATGTCAAGAGAAGAAAAACTTCACACAAGCGCCCGTAAGTTTCTAAAACTCAATTTATTTTCTTCAGTGTTATAGGCAATATTTGATAAGTTTACATTAAATTGACGTGTACCAACTATACCTTTATCGTCATTTTTTATGAGGTAAGTTAGAAAATAAATAAATACTAATACCATTAATATATAAAAATACTTGTGTTCTAAATTATACCATAAATAATTTGCAGACAAAGGGAAGTATGGAAAAAGTTTGTAAGTTTTTATCGTGTTATGTTGAACTTTTTTCTTCTTCAGCTTTTGTCACTTTGTACAAAATTTGTACTTTTCTTTTGCTTTAGTATCTTGAAAATGTTGTGAAAGTTGTTAAACATACTGCGATTGAAAAGTTATTGTGAAGAACACGGTAACATAAGCATAGTTAGGTTCTTTAATTAAATTATAATGTAACCATTTTGTATTGGTGTCATTAGCAGTATTTTACTAGTTTGCCATCGGGATGACTGTGCGCCTCCTCATGTTTTCACTCTAAAATATTTTTTTATTTAAGAATACATATTTTATGCGAAATTTATTACCACAGGTTGAGAAGCCACCAAACTGCGTAATTTCAGAAGTCAGCAGCGTCTCAGCACAAGATGAAATGAGAAGCGATGGTTCTAGCGGCCGCCGTATCGTCGTAGCGTCCAGTGTCATGTCAGATGAGCGCGCATCGCGTTCTACCGCTCCCCTTCCCGCCATGCTTTTGATGGGAAAACCTCTGATATCAAAGTCTTTTGATTTATTGGCTCGAATAAGTACCGTTTGGTTTATTACACGATTATAAATGGTTATAACAAATGGAAATATAAGTTATGCTGACACTCAAAAGTTTTAATGAATGAAACTCAAATAATTCGGTGTTAGGTGTCAAACATTAGTAATCAGCGAATCAACAAATATTTTGTATAGTAAAATGAATGTTTATTGGAAATATACAAAAGAAAACTATGTAAATATTATGGTGTATTGTAAATATTAAAGTGTCGATTAATATTTATTTAGTCTTATCATTAAATGGATTTTTGAATCAAACTGCTGATTTTTTATTTTGAGAACCCTTGAGAAAGATAATATAATTTCTATTTCCTTGATCGGCAAAGTCATGGGATTTAACCTTTCCCTTTGGCAAATTGGACAATCTAGTGAACATAACTGAATCAAGTAAATTGTCTTTTCGCCCGGCCTAACTCAATAAGTTATCTCACACAGTAAAAGAAAGAAATCTATTAATATACCTATCCAAAGTATGTTTGTTTTTGTGTAGGTATACTGCTTAGAAAATCTTTTATAAAAATTGGTATTTTGTGAGTATCATTTTCATATAATAAATGGAAATCTTCCGAATAAACTTCTAAGACAAATGTAATATTTTGGGAGAAAAATAGTCTTGGTACCACCAGATAGATAAATTACTATCGTCATGAATATTTATGTAGTAAGATTTGAGGAAGATATTCACGAAATTAAAAGGTCACAACTAAAACAGGAATTTGGTTGTGATAGAATAGAAAAAAGTGCTTGTGTGATTTTGAGACGGAGATATGTACCTATTTTTGTCACTCTTAAACAGTACGATGTTTTTTGCAGTCTGTACTACCAGAAGGTGATTTAATACACTATAAGACAACCTTCGTTTTTCATGCCTAGTAAAAGTCGTTTTTTTTTTATAGTATTACTGAGGTACACAATATGAATATATTATTCAACGATAATTTTAGGGTCCAATTTAGCATTAATATTATTTTTGGCATAATCGGTAAGATCTAAAAAGTACAAATACTTTAAACATGGCGATCATAAAAGGGAATTTCTGTTTTTTTTTACTTTTTCTTTAATAAAAAAATGAAATAGCTTAAAATTTCTTTTAGCTATATAGCAAATAAAAAGTACAGTAGAACTAAAGTTCTGTCTAGGTCTATTATTTTTAACTCCCGCATTAGGAATATATCCTGTGTCGCGGGGGACTTTACAAACATACATGAAACGGACACAAAGAACCAGCGCCTCAATTCTGCTATGTTAATATTGCATCAATAGACTGTCGATGGAATGTCGTCGCAATAGTTTTGCACTTTACCTATTCTACTAACTATGTAAGACCAATGGCCTCCCGATGTAAGAAAATGATATATTTAATTGTCCAGGTATGGCAATGTTGTTGATATCACCATTGATGATCTATATTACTATATCGACAGTCTACTGACACTGTGAATTAATGTTAGTAAAATACTTATATTTTGACCGATGACAATGGCGTCTTAATGGCATCTCAATAGCATGTCAATGGAATGACAGTGGCTTGGCGTTAACATAAAATAGCAGAATTGAGGCCCAGAACAACAATTTGTGGATCACACAAAGTGTCGTCCCATGTGGGGATCGGACCCACAACACTCAGCGTAGTAGTGAGCGGCGCGGCGTGGCGACCGCTTAAACCACTACGCCATCCGTGCAATTAATTACAGCTCTCTTACTGTTTTTAATGACATGATAATTTTATAAAATTATGTTTTTGAATATTCAAAAAAAAATGTTTTAAAATACTTACAAATCACTGTTGTTATTTGGAATAAAATCTTTAGAAAAAACACGGTGGCATAGAAACAAATTGTTGTGTATTTATGAAGAAATGATGCGATGGTAAAGAATTTTAAGGGTTTCAAAAGATACTTAAAGTAATATACTTTTATTTCATTATTTTTATTTATCTTATTTATTAAGTTATACAGATGTTTTATTTGGATCAAATAAAATAAGGAAACAATACACGCTAATGTGACATGTAAACAATTACATTACACACACAGACAACCTTACCACACCCTTTAATGTCAAAACTTCAGGCAGCTGATTTAATATAAAACCACAAGGTTCTTGGTTTACATTCTGACATAATGACAGTGATTCCATAATTTTAATTACCTGAAACACTTCGTTTGAAACAAATGTAAAAAAGATTTGACTTAGTTTACATTACGCCTCGTGGCTGTAAGGCTTAACGCTTTTAGAACCATGCAAAAATATCTGTTCTGAACAATATGTATATGTATACGTATTCATTACAATCATTATTGTATTATACATATGCATGTAATGTTTGATTATATCTACAAGTGCGAAAGATTCTCACAAAATTATTTAGTAGCAAGTGAGGTTTTTATTTGTTATAGATAAGTCCATTAATTACGTGACGGGTTTTCGAATACTAGTCTGCAATCCTAAATACTAGTCTGAAATAAAAATATATTTTTTATATATTTTTATTTCAGACTAGTATTTAGGATTGCTTAGAAAGTAGGCTAGTAAATATTATTGTGTAAGATTTATTTCCGTGATGTACCTTCACGGAAATATGGCTACTTAATTTAACCCAGTTTTACTCAATTTACTACTCTGTTTCTTGCAATGAAAAAATTTGTGATATTTCCCTAGAACCTCTCTCCCCAAAGTAAGATTAGATGCATCAGCTCGACCCCCTTCCCCCCTGAACGCCTCACATAATTAATGGACGACCTCCAAGGCGCTTAATTGCAATATTACTACTATTAAAATGACACTAGTAATTGGAATTATATAACATTTCATTACGTTTACAAGCACTGTTTGCAATTGTTTAGGTTTGTGTAATGCCTGTTACTCACGATAACAAAAACACCACTGTGAAATAGACTGACGTCTTCTGTAGGAGCTTTCAATGTGCCTCATGTCGTGCTCGTGTCTTTGTTATAAGATGAAAGCATTATGTTCCAACAAAATTATATTTACCACATAATACATATATTATATGAATATGAAACAGACAAAATATATTGTAAAAATATATTAATTAAATTATAATATTATAAAATATGTTGAAAAAAATGTACATATATTTTACAATTTATTTTAATTATTAGTTATTAGCAGTTTATTTTTTATAGTTTGTTAAATTAGTGAGCATAATAATATCTTATTTAATATTATAAACGAATAAATATTATTACGAACGAAGAAGCTTAGTATAAATAGGTATATATGCCCGGTAGATAGCAATCGGCCTCCTTCCTATTATTTAAGTGGTATTAAAAATATAGACGTCAATACGTTTGATACACCTCTGTCTAAACCTTCAGGATAAATATATGTGTGTACGTATGAAAACGATCATAAAGCGTTGTGTCAATCACAGAAAGAACACAGCGAAAAACGTGTCAGGGTACAACTCATTGTGGCAATGAAGAAAAGCCATAACTAGTAACTTAGTCCTTACGAACGATGCTAGTTTATGCTTATGTATAATCTGTATTATGTGTGTGTGTGTGTGTTTTAGCCATAATTTATAAAGAAGGTCCTAATATTAAGTAAGAAGTATTCAGTTTAACTATTGCAATGGTGAGGTTCTAAACATAATCCATATCACAATTTTTTAAACTAAATTTACAACTGTGACTAATTACAATTATTTTTATGATTACTTAATTTTCAATAGTCGTGCGCAAATAAGTAGACTTTATCAGCAATGAGGTTGTGGTTTCTGTGCGCGCGTCAGAAGGTTGCCTGTAGTAAATTTGTGTGCCGTGCGGAAACCTCGACAACAGCGGCATTTACATTGAAATTAATTCGCCCCAGTATACTCAGATTATGTCTTTTGTCCTTTAAAAAATATATGTACTCGTATATTATGTAAGTGCAAAGTTCCTTCTTACATTCAATTCGTTATATGCAACCACATCCAAAGCGAATAAAGTTGGATATATTAAGGAGTTGATATTATTATACGCAATATTACCTTATGTATTCACACTGAAAGAACTAAGTCAGCACTTGCTTCAGGATAAGAATATTTTTTATTTCAGTGCTCTATTGGAATTAATTACCAACATACTTGTGCCCGCAAACAGGCTTAGAAGTTTAGAAGGCTTGGTTTCATCACGTTGTTATTTATATTTGTATCTAAATAAAATAAGATTACGCAATATCAGCCCCAGCGTCGAAATATGTACCTACTCAAACGTTTGGCTTATGTAATCCGGACCAAGGTCATGCCCTTAATATTACTGGTACATTACGTATTAGTTATAAAGTTAATTCTGAATACTAAATTGGAGTACCTATCTTCGCTAGTCACACAGTTAAATTCCGAAACTACCGATCTTTCGACCACTATCTACAAATAGATCCACTACGTAATTAAGATTGCTGGAAGTAAGTACTTTGCTCAGTACACCCGTACTCGCTCACTACACCATCTTCTCGTGTGAATGAATCCTTGAAACTGCTCTGGCCTCTGGAACGACCCTTGTCATGTCCAACCACTCCAGGATTACAGCCGATTGAAGAGATAGGTTGTAAACAGAAATGAATAAGTAACGGCTCGGAGAGCACAGCTCGGCAATCCCGTAAATTTATTAAGGCTGCAGTATTAGTTTGAAGTTCTCTATATGTCTTCTCTACTTTTCATTTGGAACTTATAATTTTATAAAGATACTAGCGGACCCGACAGACGTTGTCCTGTCAAATTTGACACTGCGATGGTAGCGCCGTCTGTCTGATCCAATGTAAAACATTCCAAAATCAACAACTACTAATAAATTAAAAATTAATTAAAAAAACATTGTCCAGCGGACAAAATTGTGAATCTAAACCATTCCCAGATCCCCTTGAACACACACAAAAAATTTCATCAAAATCGGTCCAGTCGTTTGAGAGAAGTTCAGTGACATACACACTCACAGAAGAATTATATATATCGCCGGCCCCGGAGAATAAAATGGTAATCGCAAAAACTTAACTTTTCAGGAA